GTAAAATGATTGGCTAGAATCTAAAGTGTATCATTCCATACCAGTTGGTGGCGGTAATGCACCTTTCAGTTGTTTGCCAACCGCCAATACAAATGAAAGGAAGAAGAAAGTGTATCACAGCTCAGGAAAAAAAAAGCACCGAAATAAAGCACCGAAATGTGCGCTGCTTTTCGGTCTGGTTACTACCGTTTATGTGCCATCATGGCACCGGATACCGGTACCCATCCCTAATGACATCACATTTTTCCAGCAATATCATGTCACATCTGGAGAAGATCTTTACTGTTTTGTGTCCTAAATTGTATTATGTTCATACATAATACAATTTAGGACACAAATTAAGGACACAATTAATTAGATGATTAATATCATGAATCTAGAATTAGAGTCAGGTCAGACTACAATCCCACACCTTTTCCCAAATTTAGTGTGCATCCTAAACGTTTTAAGCACTTCTGTTTACTTTTGTCACAGAAGAGTTATGAGAAAGCCAAACTCTTATTTTTCTGGTGCCAATTTTGGTACTGCAGTGTAGCAGTGTGTGGATCCATAAAAACTCAAGGCAAAATCACACCAGAAAAGTCAAATACGGACATCTAGTGAAGTCATGTACAAATAGCATGTGAAGAACCGCACTAGTGCAAGCTAAATTCAAAAAACTGTGTGAATAGTATTGTGAAGATCGAAATGTACACTGAGATTAAAAATGAGTGCAGTCCATACTGTGAGTAACCTACTGAAGTAGAGTGATATTGAAAGATGTGAGTCCATGGCATATTACCCCCCTTCTTCATTCTGAATAAACAGATGCTTACAATCCCCATAGTAATCTCTTTAGCTTATATAGAACATCGTCATGGCTGGTATGGCAAATAGATTTAACTAACTCTATTGTAATATTACTCACCATAAAATGCCATAAAAAGCATTCTGTTCACCTGGATTAGCGTTTTCAGTGGGAGAAACGTTTCGTCGCTCATCAAAGAGACTTCTTCAGTCTCAGCTGACTGCAGGTTCATAAAGTACTTACTTCAAAACCATGTTCTTATACACACAGACACTCACACTTGCTTCATTGAACATATATTCATACACTCCTGTACCACGTGAGAGCACCTCACCATACAGACTGGAGCGGGAAGCAAATCAGAAACCTTCCAATAAGTAGAAGACATTGACTTCCTCATTCTGCAGCAAGAAAACAGAAACACACAGATTGAACTGAAAAAATAGCTTTTACAAGCAGTCACAGGTACATAGACTGATTTAGACAAATTTGGGTAATAAAAAGAGGGAGGAAAATGTCATGTCAGGAGACAGTTACTGGTGTATCTGGTGGAGAGGAGAATGAAATTGGTGGTGAGTGTGGGAAAATCAAACACTAATATCAGCATCTTCTCTTGTGGACTCATAAGCAGGACTAGTTGTCCTGGAGCAGCTGGTGACAGTCTAGACAGGCACTGTACAACAATGGTACTCAAGCGGTGTTGTCTGCAACAAGGGATAGAAAGAAACAGAGGAAAACTGACAGTGACAGCAACAGTATGGACAGAGGAAGGAAGATGAGGAAGAATGGTGTTGAATCAGAAAGCAAAGGAAGAGAAGTGGTATACAGCTAACTTACTGTGGTGGTGAGATCTGAGAAAGAGGACTGCAGCTATGCTTTGAGGAGCAGGAGCTATAATTTTGATATGACAAAACTGCTTATATGTACAGAGAATTTGCACCAAAGCCCATTAAATGTTTTAGCTGTTAAGAATTCAGACAGCTGTATGTAAAAGGAATCACAGGTGAGCTCATTGTGGAGGGGACAATAGAAATGGCAAGTGTGCAGCAGTTCCTCCAGAATCCTGCAGCCATAGAGGAAGCCACAATGTAGCATTTTGGGGTTGCAAAGCAGTGAAAAGAGAGACAGAAATACAGAAAATTAGAATTAAATTTACAAAAAAATTAAATAAAACTAGTGATAAATGCAACATATTGAATAAAACTGAAAGAATATAAATAATAGTGAACGCTGCGGACCACCACTTCAGGATGACAGATTTAAAATGGGAGGAAATAAATGACAAACTTAAGATTCAGTCAAGCCAAGAAGCAATATGTATCAGATACTGTAATACTATTAACTACGCTCATTCTCCAATGGAATGCCAGAAGTTTCAATGCTAAGAGCCAGAAATTCAAGCAATTTATTGGAGATATGAAAGAAAAGTCCAAGACAATTCATGTCCAGGCATCCTGGGTTAAATCTAATTTGGAATTCGTTCTATTTAACTATGCAACAGTTTACAGGGACAGAGAAGAAGGAGGAGGCTGTGCCACGCTTCTTAAGCAAGGCATCCCATATAGAATACTCATATAGAATAGGGGAGTGCAAATGAGCAAGAATATGTTGTTAGAAATTGGGCTGAAAGACTATGTGATAATAAATTATTATAAGCCATGTGGATGGCTGTAGCTCAGGTGGTGGTGAGTATCCTTGGGCAAGATACTAACCCTAACATGTTGACCATCTCCGAATGTGTGTGGATGTTAGTTAGGAAGCATTTAGAAACAGTAGAAAAAACTGCTGTTGTGAATGGGTGAATTGTCTAAAGCCCTTTGCGTGCTTAAGATAGAGTAGAAAAGCACTTTATAAGTACTAGTCCATTTACCAAAACACTTGCACTCAAAAAGTTGAAAAAAAATAATCCAGAGAAACAACAAAAACATGTCATGGTGGGGTTTACGTTCATATTTTACATTAAAAATGGTTAACCCACCTTGTCTATGGTCACTTTGCAGCACAGCTGCGTGACTCTACAGTTTTCATTTTGGAATACTGCATTAACACTCAATCATCCACCACAATGAATATGAGGAAGAGAGGAGAAGATTAGTGACTCTATTTAAGAACAGCAAACAAAGCATTAAACTGTGGAATCTGTTAGTACACGGAAAGTAGGCAATCTTTAATTTGATTATGTTTGAACAACGGGATTAATGGTGGTGGCGGTAATGCACCTGTAAGTTGGGTGTGCCTACAGCATTTAAACTAGTAGTAGTTGAAGAAAAAGTGGAATCAAAAAAATCAGTGACGATTTATCAGTGTACACAGGTGAAATGGTTTCAATATTGATAGCAGTCCAGTGGATTGAAGAAACAAAACCACTAAGATCTGTGATATGTTCAGACTCGAGCTCTTCACTGGCCAGTCTGCAAGACATTCACTCAGAATGCAGACCTGGCATTCTGATAGAGATCCAGCAAACATTGTTCAGAATTGTTATGATGGGGCTTATGGTCACATTCTTATGGGTACCAGCGCATCATGGAGTTAAAGGAAATGAAATGGCAGATAGGACAGCAAAAGTCGCAAAAAGGAGACCGATAGTAGATATGGTTATTAGTGTGAGTAGGATGGAGCTCAAGAGTAGAATACGATACAAAATGACGGAAAGGTTGGCAGAAGCAATGGGAGGAAGAGAGGAAAGGGCGATGGTTTTATAAAATCCAAAGGAAGGTGGGGGAAATAAGAAGTACAGTCCGAAACAGGAGAGAGGAGACGATTAAATCGCGACTGAGATTCGGACACACTGGTTTAAATAGCACATTGTTTTTAATAGGTAAACACTGTACAGGGGAGTGTGACTGTAGTAGGGAACAGGAAACAATAGAACATGTTTTCTTGAATTGTCAGGGGTATGATATTGAAAGGAGACAACTGATCAAAAAGCTGGACAATATGGAAGTGCAGTTGGACTTGATTGATTTGTTTTGCACGACCTCTGTAAGTGAAAGTTATCGGGTTGTATTTTGGTTTTTAAGGCAGACCCATTTGTTCGAGAGGCTTTGAATTTTATTTTTATTTTTTTATTTTTATTTATTTTTTGTCATTTCGGTCCACACTCCACACCAGTTGGTGGCGGTAATGCGCCATTTTGCTGTTTGCCAACCGCCAGTAAACCCTATACAGAAGAAGAAGAAGTGGAAGCGGCAGAAGAAGACGATTACCACGGAGTTCAATGTAGCTGCGCAAGCAAACGGCAAAAACACTCTAAACTTTAATTCGGGTCTACTTTGACACGTCGAGACACACCTCGAGGTACAAAGTTTTTATTGTATATATAAGTTTGTCTCAGTCTAGCATGTATTTACCTTCCGTAAAAGTTAGTGAAATATTCTTTGAGCTCGAGTCATCATGACCGTGGAAAAGTTTTGTCCCTGGTCGGTCGGGCGATTACTGTTCTTAATTCACGTATTCTTTGATTAAAATGAATTGAGCTAAAGTTTTTAAACGATATTAAAGAGTACCTTGGCAGAGGTATCTCATAGTTGAGGGTCGTCGTAAATTTTGTTTGTTTTTTTTGCAGGGGGGTTATAAAAAGTGTGTAAGGCGGTGTTTTGTTAAATTCATTTCCTGGTGGTATAAGGAATGAATGGAATGGAACTATTAGAATCACTTGTTTGTTTCTGTTTCTCTTTCAAGCTGTTTCGAACCCGTGTTGCAACCTGTTAACAACAACAGAGAGTTCGCAAAAGAATCGATTGGGCGGAACGTAGAAGAACGTATACACAATCGAACGTCTCTTGAATATTATCTAGAAAAAAAAATCTTTAATTGAAACATGTAAATAAGCAGTCAATTCTATAGCTCCATGGGGTTTTTCCATTTCATTTTGTCTCTTATGTTGAGCAAATTTGTTCCTTAGGGAAAAAAACAAAAAACTGAGTTACTAGCATAAGAAAGTACATGAGTATACATATTATAAGGAACAGCTCTTAATACTACCATCAAATAGGGAAAAGCACTGGGGGATAACTTCGCAATACGTCAGAATTAGAGAAACGTTACTAATTCCAGAGAGAATTTGTGCAGCACACATACATACAGTGCAGTGAAGTATGTTTAGTCTGGTTCAGTTTGTGTTGGTCTGACCCAAGTTGATGAACTAAAGACTCTCATAGCACCAGAAATTAAAATAAAGCAAAAAAAGAAAATTGTTTCATAGTTTATTCCTAAGCTTACAGCCATTACACATGCATAATGACAGTCGATTGTAAGAGCTTGATAGTGCATGATAACTAGACGAAAATCAGCCACAATAAACAATTTGCTGATCAACTCTCTAACTCTGTGGACAGATCAAGTTCACCAGGGAGGATATGAAAAATGGCAGGCTGGCTTTGTTGGTCTGCAAAATTTTCCTCAGTAATGGAGGATATTTGAAAGTCACTGTGTATTTTAAACATACGGATTAGTATTTAAGGTTTGTATTAGTTTTAGTTATATTATTAGTTGTATTATAATTACCTTTTTGCATCTTGGAGCAAAGGAAAGGAGATTTAAAGTAGAGCAGGGCGATATGACCAAAAATATTTATCAC